GGGCAGTACTACATCTGTGCTATTCTCCTAGTCGCTGTTTTAGATGGACGGACACTGGACGACCACTCGCTGCTTGGCTTTCCTTCGGTTTGGGACCTCGGCAATGCTTAGGGATGAGATTGGCACAAATGGAAGAAAAACTTGTTCTAGCCCACTTGCTGAAACGATTTGATATAGTAGCGACGGATAGCACAGAGGCACTTTGCACTTTCCATCTCTCGAACTGTTTTGAAACGCTTTTGATTCAGAATGAACTCAAACTTGTCGGATCCATGACTGTTGCCCCAAAATCTGTCACAGTGCAACTCAGAAGAAGGATGCCGATGTTGCAGAAAGAAGCGATGAAGTGAATACGTTTCGCAGTTGGCCTTGTCGACTGCTGTTCTATCTCTTATATATACGGCATAAAGCAACCTTAACACGAGCGTAAAATCTCTTTTTGTATTCGACAGAATTTTATGGTTCTTGAGCGTACTGTACATATTTTGTGTTTAGTAAACTTCTTTCATCTTTAAAGGATATACATGGACTATCGACTTGAAACTCGTTTTGCTCCCTAAATTCTCTACTTGTTGAAAGTACTTCCTCTTCATAAGTCATCCCAAGTGATAGCGTGACCATCATATTACACTTATCAGTTACTCCTTTGTGTTTACAGACCAAATGATGTATTGAAAGTATAGGAGCAAGCAAATCCGTTTACGACATTGTTTCTCACTCCTAACTCCTCAATATTTTATGCTGATCTCTCCACAGAGCCGAAATTCATGTCCACCTACAAAGCTTTCGCAAGCAACGACAGCAACGGAAATTGAAACACGAGGGAACAAAGAGGGGAAGGAAGGAAACGTTGGCTAGTTAGAAAACATTATGAGTGCAAAGCCAATTGCGAAAATTTTGCGTGCCGAAATTCATGCTAGGCTACATGTCCAACTTTTTCACTCATTCTATTGTCTGATGTCTAGTAAAAAATTAGGCATACTTCAATAAACATCATTATCACTGCAAAATACATCTTGAGAACAGAATTGCAACAAAATGATGCTTCTGTTTATAATGAAACTCATTTCACAAATCACACTATTTACTGTCGGCAGTCCAACTCAAAAAAAAAAATATGGGAGTCTGCAGTGATCTGGGAGTAGTGTAAGCGCAAGTTCCTTTTCTAATTGGGAATCCCTAAACAAGAAATAAAATAACATTGTAAATTAATGTAAAAATTGTTTGCCACTCTCGACTTCAGATAAAAGCAGCCACTCTATTTTTAGAGGAACATAAA